GACCACACGGCCCCAGCATCTGAGCTGGAAGGACATGACCCTGCCTGGGGCGGATGATGCTGCTGCCACTGGGCCTGGAGGCGGGCCAACGGGCCAACAGGACCTTTGAGCCTCAAGGGCTAAGGGAGTGTGCGGTGCTGGGGCCCGTTCCTCCTGACCCCGAATGCACACGTGCACTTGCCAACTGGTGGGTCAGGTACTCGTGATGAGCAGTCTGGGAAGGGAGCGCCCGCCCCCCCGGCCCCTAGTGCCCACTAGCAAGCGAGGAGCGGGGGGAAGGGCTGTCAACAGGGGGCAAAGCGTTCCTCACAAGGACGAGAGATGGGCTCTGTGTGGTTCTTCTCCTGGGACCTGCCCGAAGATGCACAGGGTCCGCTGGGTGACCAGCCCAGGGCAGGCAGCTCCAGGCCCCTCTCAGGGATGGAAGCCTGAAGGAGGTTCCCATATGTGGGCCAGAGCAGCACACCCACGTGCGCACCAGGTCACCTCCAAAGTGCAAGAGGCCCACCGAGTGTGGCAGCCCATCCTTCGTGGTGCTCAGTGCATCGTGACCATCCAACCTGGAGGGACATTCCGACATGTCCCAGGCAGCCAGATCCCTAGGAAGTCACCCGTGTGGCCGCCCCTGAGTGGGGAAGGGTTCAGCCCATGCCCCCGGGCACACAGGGGCCAACTATGCATCCAGCCTTCTCCTGTGTCACCATCCCCTCTGCCCGATAACCGTGGAGAAGTCCACCTACCCTGAGGCCCATGTGGAGGCATTCTGCCTCCCAGCCGCGTGAGGCAAAGGCTTCGGGGTGTATTTGCTTGCAGGAGTAGGGGGGCCGTGGGCACCACTGCCCAAAGAGTGCTGGGCGGCCCACAGCGGTTCTCCCAGCCCACCTGGCTTCCGCGGCCGCCGGCATTGTGGGGTGTATGGGTGTGCTTCGGCCGCCATAACAAAACCCCACAACCTGGGTGATTTAAACGGCAGACGTTAGCTTCTCACGGTGCTGGCGGCTAGGGGTGCCCCATGAAGGGGTGGGCAGGCTGCTCGTCCTGAGCCGCTCTTGGCCAGGAGACAGCTGCCTCCCCTCTGTGCCCACCTCTCTTCTTGTAGGACCCCCAGTCACACTGGGTTAGGGCCCATCCATCCTTTTTTTTAAAGATTTTATTTATTTATGTATATATTTTAGAGAGAGAGAGAGAGAGGGAGGAGCAGACTCTGTGCTGAGCGCGGGGCCCAATGTGAGGCTCAGTTCCATGACCCTGAGATCACGACCTGAGCCGAAATTAAGGGTAGGATGCTTAACCGACTGAGCCCCCCAGGCGGCCCCTATCTGCCCTTTCTACAAACGCAGCCAGTGAGGGGACTCTCTGGGGCCTCTGGTTCCCACCAGGCCCACTGTGAGCTGGATTTGGGGCAAGACCCCTTCTCTGACCCGTGGACCTCCGTGGCTGACTGGGGTCTCTGCAGAGCCAGGATAGAATACCCTGGAGGTTCAAGGAACTCCCTTTGCTCTGGGACACCGTGACCCTTGAAAATGACCAGAGGTCCCTCTGGGGAAGGCTTAGGAGCCCATTCATGGTCTATACGTGTACCTAAATGACAGGGTCCATCCTGACCAGCCCTAGCAATGGGGAGGAGGTCAGTGGTCCCCATTATGGTGGCTCAAGCTGGGATTTTGCCCAACAGACCTGGAATTTTCCTCTTGTAGCTTAGCTCCGCGTTGATTCCCTTCCGAGGGTCCCTGCGGTTGAGGAGCCTTCACGACTGCCACGGTTCAAAGGATTCAGATTCCCTCTCCCCCTGGGTGACTTACTCTGGTATTTGGCACCCACCACACGAGGGCCACCTCGTCCCCACTGAGAGCAGGTGACCCAGTTCCGTCGCAACAGCTCTGGCCTGCAGAGTTTCACCCGTGACTCCTTAGCCACGTGCTGCCTGGAGCGTCCTAACCGTGGCTGAGGGGCAGGCTTCCCATGATCGACCTGCTCCGGCACCCGACTCTGGGAGCCTCGGGCTTTTCCTCCACACCCACACTGGCGAGTCTCCATGGTGGCCCAAGGAATTTTTAAGCCCACCAATGCTAGACCCCACCTCCAGATTTCATGGGTCCATGAGCATTTTCCCCCAAATGCTCCCCATAACTGTAGCGCAGAGCCGAAGCCGAGAACCCAGTGCTGGAGGCTTGCTCCTGGTGCTGTGGCCCACGTTTTGGCGGATTGTCTTCTGGCTGGCGCGGTTTCTGCAACAGGCGCACTGTGCGTGGGTCCCTGCTTGCCTTCAGGATGTTTTCTCTATGTTTGGTGTCTGCTGGCTTGGACAGGTGTGCCTCGTACAGGTATAAATCCCGGCTGGTTTCCTGAATTCGGGTCTGTGCCGTGCTGTCCTTATTGTTAGCAAACCCTGAGCCGTTAGTTTTGCAGATCTTTCTTCTGCCCCTCCTCTCTTCTGTTACCCCAGCGACACACATCAGACTGTTTGAAATGATTTATTCCAGGGCTTTTGTTTGCCCTCTTCTCTTGGTTCCCCCGTTTCCCCTCTTTGTTTCAGTTTGGGTGATTTCTGGACTCATCGAGAAGTTCAGGGATTCTTTCCTGTGTTGACGGTGTTCCTGAGCCTGTTGAAGGCATTCTGCATCTGCGGGGCACTGTTCTTTGTTTCTAGCATTTCCATTTCCGGTCTCCAACCCTGTGCTGGGACACCCCACCTTTTCCTTCACGTTGCTGACCTTTTCCGCCAGAGCTGGACACAGATCCTGCCAGACAATCCTAGCTTCTAAGCCCTCTCTGAGTCTGGTTCTGTTGATTTTTCCTGTCTGGATTGTGGGTCTCTTCCTTCGTGTGTGTGTCTTGTAATCATTGACCAAAAGACAGAGATCGTCTGTAGGACCACAGACACTGAGGTTACTGGTTATTTCTATTCTCGAAATGGCGCTCCTCCCCGGTGTGGCTGCCTGCGTTGAGTCTGGAGGCTGGGAGGCGACTGGGTCTGGGTTTTGTGGTTGTGGTTTCCTCGTTGTGTCCACCGACACAAATCCCTCTGGCATCACCTTGTGCTGAGGGTGGAGGCTGGTTTGCTGGAAGCAGTTTCTCAGTGTTCCTGCTCCACCTTCGGCTCCAGGCCTCCCCGGCGCACCCCCACCTCGGGCTCCCTGTGATGGAGCATGGAGCACGCTTATTCCTTGGTCTGGCTGTCCCGGCACAGGTGTGTGTGTGGGGGGGGGGCAGGTGGACTCTGTTGCCCTGATCCAGCCCCACCTTCAGGCAGGCCTCGTGTCCTTGGATCTGGGTGGACTTTTACAGGGACCCCGTTTCCTCTCCAGGGACAGACCTCCTGAGGGTCAGGGCCAGGATGTATTCTGAGTGAAGACAATGAAGGGACACCTTCTAAGACTTCAAGCTCAGATTCCTAGACCCAGAAAAATATCTTCCCAAACTGATTAGAGGAGCTGGAACTTAAGGGTGGCAAAGCTGCAATCCCAGCTCTGTGACGGTTTAAGAAAAGCTATGGTTTTATAGGTTTTCCAGCTTCTCTTGTTTTCTTGGGATAATTATTGTTCCAGCTTTTTTATTTAAGATTTTTATTTATTTATTTGAGAGAGAGAGAATGAGAGAGAGAGAGCATGAGAAGGGGGAGGGTCAGAGGGAGAAGCAGACTCCCTGCCGAGCAGGGAGCCCCATGCGGGACTCGACCCTGGGACTCCAGGATCATGACCTGAGCCGAAGGCAGACGCTTCACCGACTGAGCCACCCAGGCGCCCCTCGTTCCCGCTTTCTGCATCCCAGGCAGAACCCTCCCCTGTATGGTTTCTTACAACTTAATGACGTTCTCTGAGAGACCTAATATGTAATTAATAGTGCTATTCAGATTCTCTAGGTGCTTAGTTTCGGTTGTGTAGTGTGCGTTCCAGAAACTCCAGGAAGGCGGTCACAACACAGCCTCCTGAGCCCATCCCCCCAGCCCCCGGCCAGTGCTTGGCTTCCACCCATCAGGCCCAGGAGGCCTTGATCGGGACTGGCAAGGGAGCAGGGGAGGCAGCTGAGACGGAAGCCTGGCTCCAGCCAGGGACAAGTGGCCAGGCAGAGAGGCCTTCCACGGGGCTCCGTCCACCTGGCGCTCTGGTGCAGGGCCCAGGCTTTGCAGTTCCCCGGCTTGCTAAATGAACACGTGCAGGCTGCCCCTGGCGACAGAGCTGACAGGCGGGTCAGCCTCGACCACCGTCCTTCAGCTGCGGTTCCTCCTGACCGGACAGGAGGCTCCTCCTGAGGGCCAGTGGAGCCTTTTCCAGGACCGGGGTTGCCTTCCGAGGCAACACTCACTCACTGGGTCCCCTGTGACTGCCAGAGATGGTTCACCACACTGGCCTTCGGTTTTCTTTTCCCCTGAAAACGCACCGCACCGGAGGGACGAGCGGGTGTGCCTGCGCTTGGCTGGCTGAGCAGAAGCAGGTGAGGGACCAGGTCGGTGGACGAGGGCAGTGAGGTGCGCAGGCCCTGCTTGGGCCCGAAGACAACCTGCCCTTCCCTGTCCCTGACCCCCACCTAGGAGCGACCCCCTGGGCCCCTGGATGTCCCGAGCACCCCCTCTTCCCTGTGTGCCCCTGGGCCCCTCAGTGTCCTGCATGGCCCCTGCTGTCCCCCACTTCCCCTTCCCTGTCTGCGTCCGGGTCCCTGAGCGGCCCCTGGTCCTACTCGCGCCCCCCGGCCCCTTGGTGCCCTGAGTGCCTCTGACGCTGTATTCCCCCCACTCCCACCTCTTCGCTGTCCTGAGCGCCCCCGGGGTCCCTTGGGGCCCCGAGCGCCCCCCCCTCCCGTGCGCACCTCCGGGCCTCCCGGTGCCCTGAGCGCCCCCGCTGTCGGGCCCGCCGCAAGCGCGGACCCGCCCCGTGACGCATTTCCAACCACCAGGAACCTCGGGCCCGGTCGAGCGCGCGCCCGCCACCTAGGGCGCGCGCCTCGTGCACGCGCGCCCGCCACGTGACCTCACGGCAGCCAACCGGCGCGCAGGGATTTGGGGGGCAAAGCGCGGCCCCGCGAGCAGTTGCGGCGGGAGAGCCGCGGGCCGAGAGCGTGACTCGCCCGCTCCGGCGCTGCCTGCTTCCCAGCCGCCGCCTCCCGCCGCCGCGCGCAGCCATGTCCGAGGAGAAGCCCAAGGTAAGGGCCGGAGGGCGCGGGCTGGGGCCCCTGGGTCGGCCCCGCGCCCGCGCCGTCTCCACCGCCCCCCCGGCCCGGCCCAGCCCGGCCCAGCCCGGCCCGCGCCCGGAGCCCTCCGAGACCTCGGGATGCGGGGGGATAGGCGGCGTTTGCGGCGCTTCCCCGCGCCCTGGGCCTCCCGCCCCTCCCCCCCCCCGCCCCCCCCCTCCCCCCCCCCCCCGGCTCCGCCCCCCCGCGGCGCGCCTCGCCCCCACCGAGGCTCCGCCCTGACGGCCCGGGTCCCGCCCCTCGGCTAAGCCCCGCCCTGCCCCTCCCCGGAGTCCCGCTGGGGCGGACCTAGGACGCAGCGGTGGGGGGCGCGCGGCACTTGGAGGGCGCGGGCAGGGAAGCCCCTGGCCGGACCCTCCCCGCCGGGACCCGCTCTCTCCGGGACCCCTGGCCACCTCCAGAGTCACCCGCCTCCTACCCCCACCGCGACCCTGTTCTGGGACCTCTCCCTATAGCCTTGCCCTTGACCCCACCACCCCTTTCTTTCCCGGGCCACGCCTCTCCCAGACCTTTCTCGCTGACACCTTCCCCCGCTGCTGCCCCTCCCGCCACCCGCGGTCCGCGCATCCGCCTGGCGGCGTCCTCAGAGCCCCGCTGTGTCCTCGCAGGGCGCTGAGACGGGGCATATGCTGGGGACCCGCAGGCGCGCGCCGCAAGCCCCGTCCTGCTGCGCCGCTCTCCACCGGGTCCTCCAGTGTGCGCGCCCCCCATTCATTGCGTCTCCATCTCTGTCCTCCGGCGTGCGCCCCCCTTACCCCTCGCCTCCCCATCGCCGGCCTCGGTGTGC